CGGGCAATGGCGTCGGTTGTTACGCAACACTTTTGATCCGCCGTTCTTTCGCTTATTAATTCGCGTTTCGCCCCTAAATGATCAAATTTTATTATCACGGCCCCTAAATGAACCGGTCTTACAATGAGAATCAACTGATCGCGTTTTTCTACGATATTACGCAACGGATTTTATAACCGCGCTTGGAAACATGTCCTTCCCGGTTCGTTGCTCTAGTTGAACTCTCTCTTCTTCTTCACTTTCCCTTTCCTATGCGGTTCGTTTCCGCTTTCTCTATTCTCGCGACTGGGTCCCCGCCTCTTGGTATTGTTGTGCCATTGGACGGTTTTCCGTATTGGCTTTTGATCGTTTCCGCCTTCCTTATTGTCGCGATTCGCTCCCCGCCTTCCTACGCCTAATTCCTATTGGACGGGTGCTCTTATTGGTGGTTTTCTCTAGAGGTATCTTCCTCCTTGTCTTTAGGGTATTCCCCTCTTTGTCATTCATCCTATTCATTCGAACAAACCTTATTATATAATAGTTATTTAACCTCGGCAGTTTCTGAACAAACCGAGTTACCTGATTGGCTAAAATAAAGAATTATTACAAACTTAAATTTTATATCTCTTTCGGTAACTAATAAGTAGGTAAGTATAAATTGTCGGCTTATAACCTAATATCGGTAATGTCATTTCCTTGTTTATCTTTCAAATATTCTTTCTTAACGAAAATGTTAGTTTACCTTCTTTTGTGGATTTTTCTTCCTATGAATTGTGAATACATATAAAATTAATACTTCTTATGGCTATATTTAATTTTTGTGGTTATATAACGTGTGTTGTGATTAAATAATGATAATAGAAGCTTAATTACTAATTGTACAATAAATAATAATTATATTAATGTTTTCTTCCTTTTCAATCCCTCATTCTTGTTTTTGTTCTTGCTCAATTTGAATCTCCTCCGCTGCGTCCTGATCCTCGAGGGTGATTAAGTTCTTAATTTCCTGTTATGAATAAAATAAAATAAATATCGATGTGCCGAATAAATGTTTTAAAGCGTTCGGTCACATACTCCTCGCTTAAATTTATCAAAATGAAATTTTTATGTTTACTGATATTGTCGGGATTTATTTTGTTGTTTATTGTATTTGACTTACGTCTTCTTCTTTTAATGTCTCTCTTGAGACCAATCTTCCCGATATTCTCGGTTTCCCTCTCGCGACTTCTGCCTTTGTTTGTTTTTTCCTTTCCGTTGGTTCTTCGTACGATTCGTCGCTGGATTGTTGTTTCTTTCTTTTGGTTGGCTTACTCTCGGTTGATACTTTCGGTATAATATTTTCTTTTGTTGACTCTTCTTCAATGTAGTCTCTTGATGTAGATGGTATTTCAATATTTATTATTGTTGGCCTTATGAGATCTAGTACTCGTGCCTCGGTCATTGCGTATTTCTTGAATTTCGCGTCCGTATTTGCTATTTGCTCTGCTTTTAACACACGGTTCCTTCTAATTTGTCCATTGTTGATAGTATAGTGAAGTTGGTACATCGTTGTTTCCTTTTCCCTTTCTTTTTTGAGATTTTGAATCACAAAGGTAGCGCTTACTTTGCATACATCTTTCCCTTTGTCGTCCTGGATTTTAAATGAATCCTCTACGATTCTTCTTTTATATGTTAAATTCTTACATGTCTCCATTATTTTTCTAATTTCACTCTGGTGTATTGATGCCCTTAGGTCTTTGGTGGGTTGATCATGTGGTACTTGCCTCAGTTTTTGTAACATAAATTTCATTTCTTTTAGTTGTCTTCTTCTTCTTAAGACTTCGAATTTTCTCTCAATTTCTACCTTTAATGCTTCCGCAACTTCTTTCTCTTCTCTTTCTAACTCCTTTAAATCGAAGTTTACGTCCGTCTTTGACGATGACATTTTTCTTCTTTTTATTATCTTTTCTTCTAGATCACCTGCTTTTCTTACTTTGTTTACGACTGTTTTCGTGGCACTCTCTGTATTCGCTTTTATGCGGGTTTCCGTCGTTGTTGACAGTGTTTGGCATGAATCACGCAATTGTTGCGATGGGTAACATTGTTTCGTTTTAGGGCTGGACTTCCATGTAACTTCCTTCTTACTTATCTTCATCTTCAGAGTGTTTCCAGGAATGGTCTGTGTTTCCTCGTTTTGGAGTTTCTCGCCATTAGTTTTATACCTTTCTTCACTCGAAAATCTTCTTTCCTCTTCGTCTGACTCGTCCGTTGTATCCTTTGGATTTATAAAATAGTCCTTTAGCCTCTTCGTGCATTTTTCCGCACTTTGTCTTGTACTTGACTTTCTTAAGATTGATTTAACATTTATTACGGCTTTTCGCTCGTTTTTACGCCTATTTATTAATTCAGGCGAATTTTCAATTTTCCTGACCTCTGATTGGTCTATTATATAAATTTCATTATAAATTTCAGGTTGATGTTCCTGTTCGTATTCTTTTGATGTATCTTGACTTTCTTCGTCCCTTTGATGTAAATTTTCTTCTTTTTCTTCAATCGAAGTGACTTCGGTTTTTACCTCGCCTTGTGATTGGCTGAAAATTCTTTCTGTTATTGCATATTGATCTTGAGCTGTTTTCTCCTCGCTATGATCTTCTTTTTTAATCGGTAGGTTGCTCATCCCTGCAGACTCGAAGCTGTTATTGTCGGGTTGTCTTATTTCCCTGTCAACTTCGTTATTGTCT